CCCCCTTTGGAAAGGAGTCGGGGCCCAGGGGTCCAGTCCTGGCTCTTGGTTTTCTGGCGCTGACTCAGCTGCAGAGGAGACGGGACCCCACAGGGAGCTGGGCTGAGGGGTCTGCAGGCCTCAGGCGTGGCTGGGTCCAGGCATAAGCGTGGCCTGCCATAGGCCTTCCTGCAGCCCCTGTCCTCTCACCGGCTTCGTTTGCAAACAGAATTTACGGCAGGAAGGGCCTCTTTCTCAGCGACTCCACCCTGCGTCCCGGGTGGGACAGTGCTGTCCTTGGCCTGGCTCAGGCCCACGCCATCCTTGTGGCCTGGACAGTGAGTGAGTCTCCAGCTGGCCAGCTCCACGCAGACCCCAGGGACAAAGACTGCAAGGGGAGGAGCTGAGGCCAGTCCCGGGAGCGGGGAGTGGGTGCCGGAAGGCAAAACAGCCCTCTTGTCCCAACCTACAACATGGGAACAGCAACCCCAGGGCTGCCTGGGACTCACGCTCTTCGCAGGTCTGGAAAGCCACGTGGGTTTGAGCCTCGGGACAGTCCTCCTGTTCCCTGACTCCATAGAAAACCTGAGCTTCTGGTCAACACAGGGCACCTGCCATCCTTAAAACACCAGGCCCGGGCAGGGGAAGGTATTGGCCGCACCTCCGAGGAAGGAATGTGTTGAGGAATTTACACGTAAAGAACCCCTGCAGAGCACTAAGAACATGTTAAATGATCGGAAGGAAAAGGGGTGAGGACGGCGTTCACAGAGGAGACCACACGGGCAGTGGGGAGAGGCCCACGTTCGCTGGGAATGGGAGGGCCGGGATTCGAAGCAGCAAGTCCGGTCCGGTCCAGCAGACTGGCAGGTGGGAAAGACGGGCCGCCGTGGAGGTGGGGAGGCTGTGCGGGGAGGGGGAGATCTGCGCACTCCACCTGGTGCACGGGCCACGGGTCAGGGGCCACGGGCCACGGGCCAGCCACTCGGGAGGGAGGTGCGAAAGTCGGGATGTGTGAACAGGTCATTCTACTCCCTGGAGGGTCCGCTGATTCCGAATAAGATACAAGCGAGGGTACCAGGAGGTGCCTCTGCCGGTGTGGCCTGCGGCCCTGACAGGGGCAGGGACACCCGTGCCCACAGCCGGCGGACGGGCCCAAAAGGCTCTCCGTCCCCCTTCCTGTCTGTGTCTGTGCCAGGCTGCGGGCTCTGAGGGCCGCAGCCCTTGGCGAGTGGCTGAGCAGTGAGGCCCCTGCGTTTGTTCGCTGAACATTTGCTGGAATTTTCCGCGTGCCGGGCAGCCAGATAGGTGACTGAGACGTCACCTCGGCCTCGGCTGCTCCCGGCTGGTGGGCCCAGGGCAGTGGGGGCAGAGGTGGGCCAGGCACCCTGGTTGGGAAGGTGCTGAGACGGAAGCCGGGGGTGGGCCTGAGGGGTGAGGAGCTGTCGGCTGAGGGAAGGAGAGGGGCTTTCAGCAGAGCCCGTGTACAGGGGCCCCCACAGCACGTCCTGGGGGGCCAGATGGCCTCCTTCAATGGGGGGGGGCGTCCCCAGAGGGCGCAGGGGAGGACCTGTCTTGTATTAGCCAGAGCCCCCCGCCTCCAGCCCCTCCTCCACCCCCATGCGAGCCGTGCTGCAGGGAACCTCCTGACATCATTAGGCTGGTCGGTCTTTGTGAGTTTTTTTTTTTTTGCTGAAGGCCCCCTGGCACCATCTCGGTTGCCATGGCAACCAGGGTCCGCCCTGAGCCAGCTGGCAGCCCCTGGCAGATGGCGTCATTGTGCAGCGCGGGGCGCGCTTGTCACGGGATGGGATGGGGGCAGCAGATGTGGGGGTGACGTTTCCCGGCAGGCACGGGGCACAAGACCCCACCGCCCTCGCAGGCGGGCGGGCGGGGCGGGGCGGGCACCTGCCGTGCCTTCTCTTTCTCTCTCTTTAAAAACCAAACACTTGCGTGCAAAGCCCGGGCCTCCAAGTGGGGGGCTCTGCAAATAGCTGCCTGAGAGGCTGCTGAGGAGGGCGGGGGCCAGAGCAGCTGTGGGTGGGCTGGAATGAGGGTGGGTCCAGCGGGGGCTGTAAGGGGGGGCTGAGGGTGCGGAGGGGAGGGGCCAGGGGCCTCCCCAGTGCAGTGCTCAGTATGGAGACCCTGGCTTGTTCGGAGTTGCCCCTCCAGGGTCTCGTGGTCAGGTGGGTCTGAACCCACCGGACTGCCCCATGCTCCCCTCTCCGGCCCCCCAGGCCCCCTTGCTCAGATGTCTGCTCTGTGCTATTCCGGAAAATTCCACTCGGGGGATAAACAGCTGGTGTTCAACAGCGTGCA